ATAAACCTGTGCAAGGATGAACGACGAGAAGAGGAACTGAACACAGCCTGTCAAACACTACACTGGACAGTTAAGTGAAGAAGAGTGCATGCAACGACAAAAGACACTCCTACGACACACTGGCAAGTGGCGCAGAACAGGCTGCTGGTAGGAGACACACAGACCTGACAACATTGTATCAAATAACCAGGTTAACATCTGTAAGGGAAGAGATCAACACAGCACAGATGAAAGCAACAAAAGATGATGAGGTAGATCTAATTACCAAAGAAGGGAAACAAAGGAAACGATGAGTCGACCACTTCAAAAAGCTCTTGAGTCGACCACGACCACTCGCACTTCGTCCAGAAATACCATCAGAAGCCAAGTCACAGAACTACAAGTGAACACAAGTCCTCCGACGAAAGTGGGAGTTCTGAAGGCCATCAAGCTACTGAAATGCGGGAAAGTAGCAGGACCAGATGGAATCCCACCAGAAGCACTGAGAACAGACACAGAGACAACAGCAGACATGCTCACACTACACCAGTACTGCAGAAAGTCTGGAGGGAAGGAAAGGTACCTGCCAATAGATTGGAAGAAGGGCTACCTAGTCAAACTCCGAAAGAAGGGAGACATGGAGGTTTGCAAGAACTGGCAAGGAATCATGCTTCTGTCCACTCCAAGCAAAACATTAAGCCGCATCATCCTGGAGAGATCAGAAGATGAGCTGGATTCAAAATTACGACCAGAATAGGGTGGGGTGACTGCCTGGCTGGCTGGCTGGATTTAGGTAGAACAAATTATGTGCGGACCAAATTGAAACTCTACTCTACGCATCATCATAGAACACAGCATAGAATGGCAGTCAACTCAACTCGACCTGAACTTCATCGACTTTGAAAAGGCCTTCGACAGTGAAGTAATTTGTCAGGCATTTGCTTCAACACTACGGTCTCAGTGTCACAAACGTTTATCAACCTCATTCAGCAGCTATATTATGACGGCACATGCGAAGTGATTCAAAATGGTATGCTCAGGGAGGCGTTTGAAGTGGAGACAGGAGTAAGACAAGAGTGTCTACTACTACTACTACTACTACGCACGATCTTTCCTGATTGTTTTCGACTGGTCTGGACTGGACTGGACTGGAGTAGACTGGACTGGAGTGGACTGGATCATGCAGCTGACATCTGTGAGGAGCGAGAAAATTAGCATACGCTGGATGGACCGCGGAAAAGATCCTAGAAGATTTGGATTTCGCCAACGACTTGTGGCTGATGTCACACAAACTCGAATATGTAAAGGCGAAACCCAACAAGTTGACAGAGGAAGCAGTGCAGCGAAGACGGTAATTCAAGTGAACGTGAAGAAGACAGAGGTGATGAATATACTCAATCAACGCCACCACCCCCACCACCACCAACAACAACAAGCTCCAACCACCATCAACGGGAGAAACTTAAAGAAAGTAGCCTCTTTCACCCATCTAGGCAGCACTGTTTCATATACAGGTGGCGGCAGGGACGAGGACGTCAAAGCCAGTCAGGATCGGAAAGACAGCAAGATATACATACCTTCATTAATCTGAAACCAGTGTGGAGATCTTCCGCACTCAGCATGTGGAACAAGATGCTGATCTTCAACACAAACGTCAAGTCAGTGCTTCTACATGGTTCAGAGACCTTGCGCGTTACGAAAGGCATTTCCAGCAAACTGTAGACATTCATCCACAACTGCCTACGCTGGCTTGTTACTGAAGCTCAGATGGCCAGAGTAGTAAGAATAAGCAACAAAGAACTCTGGCTAGTGACGAACCAACCAAGAAGCTATCGCTCAACAAACATGCAGAAGGAAGTGGGGGAGTATTGGATTGAGCAAACAATGAGAATACTGATTTGGGACATCACGCACCAGGTCAGACCGTCGAGTTGAATCCAAAGAGGAAACGATGAATTGGGCATCCGAGGTGAGCATGACATGGAGGAGATCATGTGAGGAAGAAATGATAGCTTGTGGGCTGTGGTGGAGCGAGGTTGAAAAGACTGTATTGAGAGAGTGTGTTTGAAGCGTGCTACTGAATCCTTATGTTCCACTGGGAACCCAAAGAAAAAATAATGGCAATACTTTCCCTATGAATGTAAAATAAAGTAAACAAATTTTAACTGACATTTCACTATTTAATGCTAATAGCTTCATCAAAGTTATAGCAAACCGAATTTTACAATATCCAAGCTTATACACGATGACTTGATAAGTGTTCTTCTGCATGAATGATTCTACATTGTCACAATTGTAGAATTAAGATGATACACACATGTAATGTATTGTATGTGAAGAGTGTATGAATCACAGATTACGATTTGTAAGTACACATGTGTTGATAGTTTTTATCGCATATTTGTTAATTAATTATTAACTTTTTAAAAGATTTATTGTTATTATGCACTGATAAAGTTGAATTCACATTCGAGGGCGAACACTTTCAACAGATTGATGGTGTCGCGATGGGTAGTCCGTTAGAACCGTTGCTAGCTGATGTATACATGTCATATGTTGAAAACATGGCTGGCCATCTCATCGGAAGAGTTTCGCTTTATAAGAGATATGTTGATGATATAGTCATTATATGTGAGAAGCCTGATGATGCAATGTGCCTGCTACAGAAAATGAACACGGCTCAAAATCACATTAGCCTGACTTGTGAACAAGAGACGAACAACCAGCTACCGTTCCTAGACGTATTGTTCAGTCGACGGGAGGATGGCTAGATCAGGAGGTCGATCTATAAGAAACCTACATGGACAGGTCAATATCTTAATTTCCATAGCTATTGTCCAGTCCAATACAAACGTGGTTTAGTCAGATGCTTATTCAACAGGATAAACCGCATCTACACCGATGACACCAGGGAGGAAGAAACCAACTTACTGACGACAACTCCGACACAGAATGGATACCCGTTGAGATTTATCGACCGGTGCCAAAGTTATGTACCATTGAAAAGTACACAGTGTTCCGTTGCTAAGATAAATTTCTACATCTCATTATCATTTAGAGGTGATTCACATAGCTTTGTTGTGAGGAAAAGACTTAGATCGGCCATCTGTAAGTCGTATTATGCAGCTAAGGTCATCATTGTAGAGAAGACCAAGTCCATGTAACAGCACAAACCGAAACAACATATAAACGATTACATCACATCCCATTGTGTTTATCAATTTACATGTAAGTGTGGACACACATATATAGGGAGCAGTCATCGTGATATGCAGTTAAGGAAGGTTGAACATGCACCTAAGTGGCTACAAAAACAAATGACGTCAACAGATCCGATAAGTGCAGGTGACAAACATCCATCTTCGTCTATCGCTAAACTTATACTAGAAACTAACCATAGGATAGATATGAGAACAGCCTTTAAAGTACTACATAAAAGTGGTCAGAGCCGAGTGCTTAAATTTTTTGAAGCTCTTCCCATCCGTAAATTTAACCCCCCTTATGTATACAAAAACAATTTGTACTCACGTTGAACCTACCTTGCTAGTATGGATTTTAATTTTCATACCAAGAATGTTTTTCTTTTTTTTCCTATCCCTTCCTATGCCTATGTTTCCTATTAACTTCATTGACCTCTTTCGTAAATTTTCACTTAAATAGTTCAACAAGTCCATGTGTGATCAGATTGCGCGAAATGTATAGCGCTAATACATCACATGTTTCAGATAATCTTCGTCTTCTCATTACGCTGTTTAAAGCATATTTGTTGGTTATGTTAGTATGTGGAGTGGGTTGAGACCAGGTCAAACTACGTTTTACTCCCTCATTCCTATTCAGACAATTTTGATTCCACTTTATGTGGAGAGATTCTGTTATGAGATGTTCGTCATAACTAATAAAGCCTTCCTGAATAATTTAGATATTGTCAAAATCGACTTAGTGAGCTGAAATTATAGCGTGTAGAGCTACGGCTGAAAGGTTTTTCAGTTTCACTGGATTTCTAGAGGGTCAGATAGAAGCTCTTCGGTGTTCATGTTTTCTAGTTTTGATTTCACGGGAATTTTGTTCTGTGTATATTGCTTTGCAGTCTGAGCAATTCATTTATAAACATAATTAGTTTATTAATCCAGAGGGATCTCGTCCTTCATATGGACTAAGATGCTCTGGAGTGTGGTTGGTGTTGTGTAGAACACTGTGATGTTGCATTTTCTGGCGGTCTTCTAATTTCATTCGATGTGTGTGACGTATAAGGGATAACTATAGTTGAAGCCTACTAGTTAAGAGTAGTTGTGCGATCTAATTTAATTCTATTTTCTATTTTGCGAGTGAATGTTACTGGATAATTATTCATTTAAGAGTAGTATTCATATATTTTTATTCGTTAACTCCTTCATTCTCATCCGCTTTCATAGTATGTGCTGTCCCTAAAGGACTGAGCGCAACATAAACCTTAGGACTGATTTAACGTGATGAACTGAAATCTAAATGCTTGTTCGAATGCGTTGCTTTCCAAAAAATGGTTATACCTAAATGTCCATTTTCTTTCAACTTGGAAAGCCAATCGAGGAAGGTAAGTTCACATGTGCACACACGAATCTCAATCTGTACTCCATACACTCTTCACACATAATAAACTACATATGCATATTGTTTTTATTTAACATGCTGAAGAGCATATTCTAAGTTATCATATATGAGCTTGAATATTTTAGATTCCAATTTACTATAACTTCGATAAAGCTACTAGGACTAAATAGCGAAATATCAGCCGAAACAAATTTGTCTTGCATTCATTGGGAAATACAAATACCGAAATAATGAATGGTCATTCATGAAGTTATTAAACTTTGAGACAAAGCATAACGCTTACAATACTTTTGTGAAGATTTTATGATTAAAGTTGCTTTCTCTGGTTTAGAAAAATCCCTTACATCTTAGTATTCGTAAATAGCACCTACCTTTGTTTTACCCCAGAAATTTATGACTCATACGGGTAGTTAACTTGTTTTGTTATCTTACAGGATTTTCTATAAACAACACATATGACGAACTCAATGCAAACCATATTCACTCTATGAAATCAACTGATACTTGGTAAATCAACTAAATTTAATAATATGAGGCTTAGAGAAAGATTTTCACCCGATACCTTCAAACCAAATTACAATGCGAAAACTATAAGTTTCACCAGTTCGCAGTGGTTACAACAACTGCTGTCGATAGCTATACGTTTAAACAATGGCACAAGTAGTCATGAATACTCACCAATTTCTGCTGCTACTTATACAACTACAACCAGCAACAATGATATCACCAATCAAAGCAGCATAGATGAGTCTACGTCAGCAACAAAAACAGTTGGTGCAACTGGATGCATCATATTGCAGTTATATGATAAAAATCCTGATTTCCTTTACAATCAAGAGGATTATCAAGATATTGATTATTCCGTATTAAAAATGCAAATCATCATTTGGACACAAAAGTATTTGAAACCAGATGATTTATTCATGGATTGGTTTGAAACAGTCAGTCGTCACATTCATCATAACGACTATAACCACAATAATGAAAATACTATGAACTATGCGCATAATGAATTGTCTGTTACAAATGTTACATTCTGTACAGAAAACCTAAGAGGTTTAATGATTGAAAGTGATAAGCAAATGCATGATAAATTCAGTCATTTAAGTGGTGAGGTGTATAGCACGAAAAATGGAACAAAAACTGGTAAGTTGTTGCGGTAGACTGAATCTTCTTATTTATACTTGAAGGATCCTTTACTAATCATCTGAGGGTGGTAAAGAGTGGCTATAAACTTAACAAAGGCCTTTTTATTATCCAACATGCTGGTGAATAATCAGCACGGTAAAAACTGCTCACAACAGTTAAGAGAGACAGTCAAATAGATTATTGTGATCCTGTGCTTACTCTTTCAAACTCTAGATTAATGTACTTTTACAAGGACTGTATCAGCCTGGAAAGATCAACTATTTAAATTCTGATCAGTTGTCAAGGTAAAGTGATAATTAATGGAAAGCACTTTTTTGGCATGGCCGGATTAAAGGTTGAGTCTTATTTTGAACAACTCACTGATATCAGAATTCAATGGCAGAATGAATCACTTTTCTCCTTTAGATTTTGATAAGGTGTATAATAAGTTTAAAAGTTCAATTAAAAGATAAAAGCAACACGTTCATTTCTGGAATCAACCAATAGTATAAGCGTGATGAGAACTTGATGATCTTTGAATTTAACTAATTAACTGCATGCTCTAAATTTGATTAAAATATTTTCAGCTGCGTGAACATTATATGTCACTCACACTAATCACATAAAATGAAGAAAATGAAATCAGAAAGATAGTAAAGGAAGCTATTGATGACAACGGTAGTCAGTATTATAAGAACAATAATTAAATCGTGGTTGCATACACGAATACAGTAGTAAAACGAAAAAGTAGGTCGTTTTTCATCATGTTTCATTGAAAATTTACACTATACGAAAAACTGACAAGAAAGAGGAGACTGACAACTGTTTTCTACTAGTTTGAGACCTATCACCACGTTGGCAGTCTGGCCTAATTTTGGTTACAGAAACTTTTCCACTTAAAATACTACACCAGATTTCTCTCTTTCAAGTTATTTCGTTCATTCGAATGTCAATAACATGTTGCACATATTCTCATACATCTAATAAATATTTTCGATACGTATTTTTGCCATTTAACAAGGAAATTATGAGAAAGCATCCTAGAAGATGGTGACAGGCGACTGAACTCAAAACAATCCGTCACATAACTATTGCTAGGATAGTTAGCTCGAACTTTATGCTTTCATGCTTTCCAAAACTCCTCAACAACTTGCCTACAGACTGGACGATAACCTAACAGCATTTGGCTGTCACGAATTGTTGCTCATAATAATGTTAAACATTAAACATTATTTAGATACCATGATTGTTTAATTTAAAAATACTGGACAAACAGTACGTTTATTGAAACACTGAGAACTCCCTACTATTTTAAACACACTGTTTCAAATAAAGGGGTTATTTATACTATTACCAATAAAAATTCATGACCCAATGATATATGAGGTCTTACACTGTCAAAACTCCTGGACAGCGTATTGCTCCCCAACTAACAATATATTCAAATCAGATGATCCACATTTCGCAACTTCTGTGAGTTTACTACATAGATAACTATCACCATATATCATGGTCTGACACTTTTGTTACTTCTAGTATGCCTCTGCTCTGTATATATGGTATGAAGCAAAAGAGTTACTTGCTGTAAAGGTAACTGATTTGTCTTTTTTTAAATATAACATTTTCCCCTAGTTTCGGAATCGTCATTTAGGAATTTTTACTGCAATGAAATTCATCAGATCAACTCGCAATATGAACTTTTGTCGTTAGGATATCCGCAGATCACTTCTACAGAAGAATCATCTCTAATCACCTTGATAGTTCAATAAGGCATAAAAAAGCTATCTAAATTTATGTTAATAAGCAAAATTGGCAAGTAGACACCATCAAACGTCTTTCGAGAACCTTACTCAGACAAAATAATATCTCGTTTATAGTATTTCATTGTTTGGACACTGCAAACAAAATAATCCCACTCTGATGAACTTCATTTAAAAAGATAACAACGTTTATCTAGAATGGATAATATCATGAAGAGATGCAGACTATCGGTGAGTTTATCTATTAACAAGTTAAATATCGGCACGTAGAAGTTTGATGTATATTTTTTCGCCATGCAGATGAACTTTGGAGGCATTTACGAACTATGTTTCGTCCATATCTTTTAAGTAAAGCGAATTTGCTGACTGTTACTTTTTCCAAAAGTAAATGAATACAAAGACAGAACGTGATAGGTTGTGACTTCATCGGAACTTTAAATGAATCTTAACAAATTACAGATATTCGATATGAGTTATTCAACAGAAATTAATGCTTTAGTATTTTTAAAAAAAGTAACTACAGGAGTTCAGACTACGCTACCAGCAACTTTTCAAACAAAATATCTTTCATATTCTTAAGTAAACTATAAAGAAAAACGGTTAAGTGACTACAACCTGATGAAAAATACTACAAATGATATAACCCCCTGACATACTAATTTAGCTGATTTTGAAAGTTGATTTTTAAATGAGTTAAAAAAGTATTGAATATTATTCACAGATTATCAGTCAACTTGTATGTAACAATTTACTTGCATCTTAGAAAGTGTTTCCTTCACTGTTATTTAATTTTTCTAGAAAATTATGGTGTAAGTGAGGTGCAAATCGTGATCGTGATTACACTTTGCTGTGTACTGATCGTGTGCTTTATGATGGCTGTTATTTTACGTGTTAGGTAGGTAAATCTAATAGAGTATAAGAATAAAACTTGGTTATTACGGTAGAGTATAAATCCATATCACATCAGTTTATTTTATCTAACACACAATGTGTTATTTATAGCAAATATATATATATATATATATCAAGTGACTTCTAACAAAAACTGCTTATTTGCATTTATCAGACTTGATATCAAATATGTTACTGTCATTATTAAGACTCAGTTGTTTCATTAAATGTGTCCTTACTTTTGTTTTTTTTCTTAGCACATATTATACTCGCATCGTATCAAACGTTTTCCCATCTATCAAGCCCAACGCTTTTTCTATGCTAGGTTTGAAGCTTTCAGGTTTAAATGAAATTCTCCGAAATTCAGTAATGCGAAAATTCCCATTTCGACACATAGTAAAACAAACAATGTAAACGAAGAAATATTTCTTTCCAGTTAGCTCCTCGTCAATAGCTCTACACTAATATATAACAATCTCAAAATGTAAAATTATGTACCAATCCAGTAATGAGAGTTGTTTGCTGAATGGCTATAAATTTTGAAGTATAAAGAAGGTGATAATTGATTAGGTAATTAAGACAATTCACTAAAGAATAGATTAAATAAAGTACAAAGATTTCAACCAAAAATAAACAAGTTATTCTATAATTCATATTGCGTATGATAATAACTAATGGGCGTAAATGAATTCTTACAAAAAGTGGAAATTCCTGACACAAGACAAGACATCAGTTAGCGACATAAAAATTCTAATGGGTGGGGTGACATGAATGCCAGCCAAACTGGGAGCAGACAACACAGCAACAGAATTGATCATGAGTCGATAGACACTCGGTGAAATGACAAATGAGGATGGAGAACTGTTTGCAGACTTCTGCACATTTAACGATTTGGTAATTAGAGACACCGTGTTCATGCACAAGAATATCCACAAAGGGAAATGGATTTCACCAGACACCAGGATACACTGAAAATCAGATCGACTTCATTTGAATGTGAAGAAAGTGGAGAGGCACACCACTGGACATAACATCAGATGAAGAAGGAGAGCATCTGTTGGTTCACACCACTGAATGTCTAGTGCAAGCAACCTGCATCCAAAATCAAGTTGAAAGCCTTCAAATAAGCTGGTGATAGACCAGAGTTCAAGGTCAACAATTACCCAGAACAGGAACTGAAGTGAAGGACGAAACTACGAGCGACATCTTCTCGTCAGTCAGTCATCAGAACGGAAAGGGAGAAATCGAGCACCATCACTGAGGGAACCTGCATGGATAGACACTGGAACTCTGTGAAAGCTATGTGGGAAGAAACCTGCATAAGCGTATTAAGAAGGAAGAAGAGGAAGAAGCAGAAGAAGAAGAAGAGGTAGGACAAGGAATGGATGTTGACGGACACATGGAGGCTGATAGAGGAGGGAGAGGGAGAGGAAGAGGAAGATGGTGAAGCAGAAGATAAACCTGTGCAAGGATGAACGACGAGAAGAGGAACTGAACACAGCCTGTCAAACACTACACTGGACAGTTAAGTGAAGAAGAGTGCATGCAACGACAAAAGACACTCCTACGACACACTGGCAAGTGGCGCAGAACAGGCTGCTGGTAGGAGACACACAGACCTGACAACATTGTATCAAATAACCAGGTTAACATCTGTAAGGGAAGAGATCAACACAGCACAGATGAAAGCAACAAAAGATGATGAGGTAGATCTAATTACCAAAGAAGGGAAACAAAGGAAACGATGAGTCGACCACTTCAAAAAGCTCTTGAGTCGACCACGACCACTCGCACTTCGTCCAGAAATACCATCAGAAGCCAAGTCACAGAACTACAAGTGAACACAAGTCCTCCGACGAAAGTGGGAGTTCTGAAGGCCATCAAGCTACTGAAATGCGGGAAAGTAGCAGGACCAGATGGAATCCCACCAGAAGCACTGAGAACAGACATAGAGACAACAGCAGACATGCTCACACTACACCAGTACTGCAGAAAGTCTGGAGGGAAGGAAAGGTACCTGCCAATAGATTGGAAGAAGGGCTACCTAGTCAAACTCCGAAAGAAGGGAGACATGGAGGTTTGCAAGAACTGGCAAGGAATCATGCTTCTGTCCACTCCAAGCAAAACATTAAGCCGCATCATCCTGGAGAGATCAGAAGATGAGCTGGATTCAAAATTACGACCAGAATAGGGTGGGGTGACTGCCTGGCTGGCTGGCTGGATTTAGGTAGAACAAATTATGTGCGGACCAAATTGAAACTCTACTCTACGCATCATCATAGAACACAGCATAGAATGGCAGTCAACTCAACTCGACCTGAACTTCATCGACTTTGAAAAGGCCTTCGACAGTGAAGTAATTTGTCAGGCATTTGCTTCAACACTACGGTCTCAGTGTCACAAACGTTTATCAACCTCATTCAGCAGCTATATTATGACGGCACATGCGAAGTGATTCAAAATGGTATGCTCAGGGAGGCGTTTGAAGTGGAGACAGGAGTAAGACAAGAGTGTCTACTACTACTACTACTACTACGCACGATCTTTCCTGATTGTTTTCGACTGGTCTGGACTGGACTGGACTGGAGTAGACTGGACTGGAGTGGACTGGATCATGCAGCTGACATCTGTGAGGAGCGAGAAAATTAGCATACGCTGGATGGACCGCGGAAAAGATCCTAGAAGATTTGGATTTCGCCAACGACTTGTGGCTGATGTCACACAAACTCGAATATGTAAAGGCGAAACCCAACAAGTTGACAGAGGAAGCAGTGCAGCGAAGACGGTAATTCAAGTGAACGTGAAGAAGACAGAGGTGATGAATATACTCAATCAACGCCACCACCCCCACCACCACCAACAACAACAAGCTCCAACCACCATCAACGGGAGAAACTTAAAGAAAGTAGCCTCTTTCACCCATCTAGGCAGCACTGTTTCATATACAGGTGGCGGCAGGGACGAGGACGTCAAAGCCAGTCAGGATCGGAAAGACAGCAAGATATACATACCTTCATTAATCTGAAACCAGTGTGGAGATCTTCCGCACTCAGCATGTGGAACAAGATGCTGATCTTCAACACAAACGTCAAGTCAGTGCTTCTACATGGTTCAGAGACCTTGCGCGTTACGAAAGGCATTTCCAGCAAACTGTAGACATTCATCCACAACTGCCTACGCTGGCTTGTTACTGAAGCTCAGATGGCCAGAGTAGTAAGAATAAGCAACAAAGAACTCTGGCTAGTGACGAACCAACCAAGAAGCTATCGCTCAACAAACATGCAGAAGGAAGTGGGGGAGTATTGGATTGAGCAAACAATGAGAATACTGATTTGGGACATCACGCACCAGGTCAGACCGTCGAGTTGAATCCAAAGAGGAAACGATGAATTGGGCATCCGAGGTGAGCATGACATGGAGGAGATCATGTGAGGAAGAAATGATAGCTTGTGGGCTGTGGTGGAGCGAGGTTGAAAAGACTGTATTGAAGAGAGTGTGTTTGAAGCGTGCTACTGAATCCTTATGTTCCACTGGGAACCCAAAGAAAAGGTAATGATGATAAATAACGAGCGAATATTAACTGCTTGGTAGAGTGGTAAATGGTTGATTGTAATTTCAACTGTTTGGGTAGATGAAGATGACCTAATCTGTAATTATAATAATGAAGTTATTAATAATAAAGCCATTAAAACGTTTGTTATAATCAATCGTGGGATGAATGAAATGGAGGGTCTCTAAGTAATGAATTCGCTATATAGATGGCCGAAGGCAAGAAAAAGTCTGTACAAATTTTTTCTGAACACAGAGTCTTGGCTCGTGTAGGTGGATTCCTAAGGCTTCTGTTGTATGTAAAAGACGAACTTGTAGAGCATGGGTGATTTTAGAAGGAATGTGATAAATTACTTTATAGGCATTATTAATGTTAACTCGGTGGCCGGTGTCAATCAGATGCGAGAGTATTGATTGTCTTAATTACCCAATCAATTATCACCTTCTTTATACTTCAAAATTTATAACCATTCATCAAACAACTCTCATCACTAGATTGGTATGTAATTTTTGCGTTTTGAAAATGCTATATTAGTGTAGAGCTATTGACGACGAACTAACTGAAAAGCAATATTTCTTTGCTCACATTGTTTGTTTTATCCTAATTTGAAATTCAGTCTTTTTCTCAAGCACATTTTTTTGAGCATGGCTTGATTTCTTGTTTACCACCGACTTTGTTTGACTCATTGGTCATGGTGTCATACTGGTAGTTTCCCTCTTTTTATTGGTGTATTTTTATCTCATTAAGATTACGTCATTGTGTGTTACAATCAGCAAAATAATTTAGATGTAATTTCATTTTTGATCGCAGCTTTGTCACCTAGTATTTTAGTAGTTTAGTTTGCTTAACGTTATTCTCTTTATTTCTCTCTGGAAATGATCAAATGCAACCTTGAGTGATTTGTTAATCTACAACTTTTCTGCTTAATATATCATGGCTTTATCGTCTGCGTTTTGATAAATTTAAGCCGAATACATTTAAAATACCGCTTTGAATACTTTTATTTGATATGTTTTAAATCACAGTCATTGCCAAGAATCGTTTTAATGAGCTACACTCCAATATTTTTCTCATCAGTAAGTACTAGAAAAACAGACGATATGTTGCTCCTCAGACTAAGAGGACTACTCAAGCTTATATCTGACTTTTCACAGTTTTTAGAAAAAGGAATACACAATCATTACCCATATTTGTCAAAAGAATTTTGTCTGTATATTCTTCTCATTGAATAAGATTCAAGGTAGTCAGTCAGCAACATCATACTTCTCTGTCAAATACACTTATTTTCCCTATCAGCACCTACCGTGCTTCAAAGCTGGTCATTTAACTAATAATCAAAAAATAAAACCCTGCAGTAGTTTTCGAACGTAAAGCAGACGATACATTATATCACCATCCTTTTTTGAAACCATAAGTAATGAAACAGGTGGAGAATGTTCAAAACATGATATTTATGACAGGAAATAGTTTAAATAAATACAGTGGTAAACACGTTCCTTATTTTTCAATGTAAAGGAAATGCCCTTCAGGACAGGAAAGAAAAACAGTACGTAGTTAAGCAATGAGGTTACCTTCAAAGATGTTGTTCACGAAGCTGAAAAACTGAAAATATAAAATATCATTTACAAGCGTACAGCCTAATGAATCTTATGCTGAGCTGCTTGTCATCCGTTCTTTACGACTGCTATTGATGAAGGTCCAAGTTAGGAAAAATCCATTGATTCATTGATGAAGTAAATTAGAGACTATTGACTGGGACTGTAGACAACATATTTTTAGAAAAAAACTGGAAAATGGTAACAGCTGGTACGAGTGAGAATCTTAAATTATATTTTTGTTTGCTAAATATAGACCTTAATCTCATTTATTCCGATGTGACTGAAACAGGTTGAATTTGACTTCACACCCACTAGCTATGTATTTATTACCTGTGGAATCATTAATTTCTCAGGTTATTATGAGTTATACTGGGCTATCCGTTTTACTTGTGCGTAATTTCATGATGCCTAACATTTTTAAGGCAGGATAGCTCAGTTATTTACGCATAAACACAGATAGAACAGAAACGTCACTTTACAATTTGTGATGGAAATAAGTTGAACTATCACAACTTAAAGTGTAGTTGAATAGTATAATGGAAGTTATGCAAATAGAATAGTGGATCTAAAACCGAATGTACCAACTGAAACGTAGTCTGGTCACACTTGAAATTACATCATTTGTAATTCTTGGTATATTAAATGAGACTATTATACCAAATGGTTGAAATAAACATCAAGAATTACCGGAACTCTCAGTGGTGTGAGTTTCCTAAATTTTGAATGCTTCTGTGACATCAAGATACATAATTTTCAGAACTACTGGAAAACCGAAGACTGACTGATGTCGAGATATTTTTACTGTCTTCTGCTACAGAAGACGTAAACATAATTGACTTCATGATCATTAACGATCCTGGTTCTTTTTGACATTTATAGTAATTGCTTATAAACTGTTCTCTAAATCATAAGGTTTTTCATGTAAAGTTGATAAGAACATGTTAATTTCCCATTTTTCTACCTACGGACAGGAGCTTTTGCAAACGTCAAACAGAATCAAGAAAACAATCAAAAAATGATCGCGACTCTGCACTGCAAGTCAATTTTGCTTATGACATCAATGAAACACAAGTGGTCGAGAAACCACCAATGCCGAGTACTACTTTTGGCAGTAATGTATATCCAAGACCAATGAAACGAAAACCTGGTGTATGCAGATATGATCGCGTACCACCATCACACTGTAATTTACCTCAGAAATATTCCAAAGGGTTGTATGGTCAATCATACAATCCAACAACAGTATTTATGATTGACGATCAAAGGGGAGAATATTGCAATGCACTCCTTGAAGAGTATTCACAAAACTACGTAAGCTAATTCGGAAGCGCTGGGACTAACCTATGTTTTTAAGATTGAAAAAAAAATCATTATTTATTATTTGTCCCTTGGGTTACTAGTGGAACATAAAGCTTCAGTAGTATGTCGCCATTTCACTCTATTCTTTGCAGTCTTTTCAACCTGACTCCATGACAGCCAAGAGCCTTTCATTTCTTCCTCACACAAACTTCTCCACATAACCCGCGGCTGGGAAGCCCAACTAGCCTTTTACCCTTTGGCCTGGTGCGTGATGTCTCCGAACAGTCTTCTCAGTGTATGCTTGATCCGATCCATGTCCACTTTCTTCTGCATATTTCTTGGCAACTGGTTCTTGCCTCGTTGGTTCATTCCCAGGCCACAGTTCCTTGTTACTTATTCTTATTATTCTGGCTGTCTGATCTTCATTGTCAGTATCGAGTGATCGTAGGTGGCAGCTGTTGACGTTTGTCTGCAGTTTGTTGAAAATGCTTTCGCAACGCCCAAAGTCTCTGAACCATATGGCAGCACTGACTTAATATTAGTGTTCAAAAGGCGGATTTTTGTCCTTTATGCTGAGTGCAGTGGAGTAGATCTCCACACTGGTTTCAGATTAATGAAGGTATATCCTGCGGTCTTTCTGATCCCTTTTTTGACATATTCATCTGAGCCTGTGCCACCTGTAGTTGAAACGATGCTGCCTAGATAGGTGAAAGAGGCTACTTCCTTTAGGTTTCTCCGTTAATGGTAACCGGTGCTTGTTGTTGTTGTCATTGGTTGGGTATCTTCATTACCTCTCTCTTCTTTACGTTCAAATTAAAAAATTCCAGTCTTCCTTTGCTGCCTCATCTGTCAACATGTTAGTTTTCACACATAGATCTTCCAGTATGTGTGACAAAACATTAGACATAAATCATAATCAGCGAAATCAAAACCTTTTAAGATCTTTTCCGCGGTCCAGCGTATCCCCCTCTTCTCGCTCCTCACAGTTGTCAGCTGCATGATCTAGTCGACTCCAGTCCAGTTCAGTCCAGTCGAAAACAATCAGGAAAGATCGTGCGTAGTAGTAGTAGTAGTAGTAGACACTCTTGTCTTACTCCTGTCTCCACTTCAAACGCCTCCCTGAGCATACCATTTTGAATCACTTCGCATGTGCCGTCATAATATAGCTGCTGAATGAGGTTGATAAACGTTTGTGACACTGAGACCGTAGTGTTGAAGCAAATGCCTGACAAATTACTTCACTGTCGAAGGCCTTTTCAAAGTCGATGAAGTTCAGGTCGAGTTGAGTTGACTGCCATTCTATGCTGTGTTCTATGATGATGCGTAGAGTAGAGTTTCAATTTGGTCCGCACATAATTTGTTCTACCTAAATCCAGCCAGCCAGCCAGGCAGTCACCCCACCCTATTCTGGTCGTAATTTTGAATCCAGCTCATCTTCTGATCTCTCCAGGATGATGCGGCTTAATGTTTTGCTTGGAGTGGACAGAAGCATGATTCCTTGCCAGTTCTTGCAAACCTCCATGTCTCCCTTCTTTCGGAGTTTGACTAGGTAGCCCTTCTTCCAATCTATTGGCAGGTACCTTTCCTTCCCTCCAGACTTTCTGCAGTACTGGTGTAGTGTGAGCATGTCTGCTGTTGTCTCTGTGTCTGTTCTCAGTGCTTCTGGTGGGATTCCATCTGGTCCTGCTACTTTCCCGCATTTCAGTAGCTTGATGGCCTTCAGAACTCCCACTTTCGTCGGAGGACTTGTGTTCACTTGTAGTTCTGTGACTTGGCTTCTGATGGTATTTCTGGACGAAGTGCGAGTGGTCGTGGTCGACTCAAGAGCTTTTGAAGTGGTCGACTCATCGTTTCCTTTGTTTCCCTTCTTTGGTAATTAGATCTACCTCATCATCTTTTGTTGCTTTCATCTGTGCTGTGTTGATCTCTTCCCTTACAGATGTTAACCTGGTTATTTGATACAATGTTGTCAGGTCTGTGTGTCTCCTACCAGCAGCCTGTTCTGCGCCACTTGCCAGTGTGTCGTAGGAGTGTCTTTTGTCGTTGCATGCACTCTTCTTCACTTAACTGTCCAGTGTAGTGTTTGACAGGCTGTGTTCAGTTCCTCTTCTCGTCGTTCATCCTTGCACAGGTTTATCTTCTGCTTCACCATCTTCCTCTTCCTCTCCTCTCCCTCTCCCTCTCGTTCTCCCTCTCCCTCTCCTTCTCCCTCCTCTATCAGCTTCCATGTGTCCGTCAACATCCATTCCTTGTCCTACCTCTTCTTCTTCTTCTGCTTCTTCCTCTTCTTCCTTCTTAATACGCTTATGCAGGTTTCTTCCCACATAGCTTTCACAGAGTTCCAGTGTCTATCCATGCAGGTTCCCTCAGTGATGGTGCTCGATTTCTCCCTTTCCGTTCTGATGACTGACTGACGAGAAGATGTCGCTCGTAGTTTCGTCCTTCACTTCAGTTCCTGTTCTGGGTAATTGTTGACCTTGAACTCTGGTCTATCACCAGCTTATTTGAAGGCTTTCAACTTGATTTTGGATGCAGGTTGCTTGCACTAGACATTCAGTGGTGTGAACCAACAGATGCTCTCCTTCTTCATCTGATGTTATGTCCAGTGGTGTGCCTCTCCACTTTCTTCACATTCAAATGAAGTCGATCTGATTTTCAGTGTATCCTGGTGTCTGGTGAAATCCATTTCCCTTTGTGGATATTCTTGTGCATGAACACGGTGTCTCTAATTACCAAATCGTTAAATGTGCAGAAGTCTGCAAACAGTTCTCCATCCTCATTTGTCATTTCACCGAGTGTCTATCGACTCATGATCAATTCTGTTGCTGTGTTGTCTGCTCCCAGTTTGGCTGGCATTCATGTCACCACACCCATTAGAATTTTGATGTCGCCATCATCAAATGGGATGGGGTCTTGTTCATTATTGATTGCAGTTGTCTGTAGTACTCCTCCTTCTTCTCTTCATCCACATTATTTGTTGGTACGTAGGTTAGCGTAGCATTGGCATCATATGATTGTGACCCTCCACGTATTCGAGTTGAATCCATCTTGCTGTCATGATCCTGTAAGAGGAGACTGGTTCCCACTGCATGAGAGAGAGCCTTTGATTCTCTTGAGCAAGAGACATCATGATACCCACTCGAAAACTCAGTGTGCTCGTGGTTGTCGTCTGGATGACAATATCAGAGTAGAATATTGACTCTCCGTTTGACAGTTTGGAGGGTCCACTTCCATTCCACCTGCTCTCGCAAATTCCTGGCACTTCAATGCTATACCTTCTCATCTCCTTTGCAATCTAGGCAGCCATACCAGCCAGCCAGCCAGCCAGCCAGCCAGCCAGCCAGCCAGCCAGCCAGCCAGCCAGCCAGCCAGCCAGCCAGCCAGCCAGCCAGCCAGCTACAATTATTGTGAGGACATTCTATGTCCTCATGCTTACTTTCGCCTTCATCGAGAAAGAGAGAGAAGACACATCAGCCAATTGGCTTCGTGATGGTTTTCGCCAAGTGGGGACATTTCGTCTCTCCGATTCCAGCGAGGAATAAGTTTGTTTTTATTTTTTCTGTAGTGGTTGGATTGGTTTTGCGGTGTAGGGTTGCTAGCCGTATGCCGAACCTTCCCTTTTTATCTGGGTTTAGGACGGGCTAGTAACTAGTGAACTTGTTAACCACGCTAGATTGAAATGAAAAATAGTTGTAATATAATCTTCCTCATTTACGCTGCTGTTTGTTGTAACAGAATTATTGTAATTTTAAAGATAAGTCGGAAACTGAAGTACCAGCTATTAAAGAAATAACTATAGGGTCATATAAACATCAGAATCTTTGCCACTGTTATCCGTTGGATATTATAATAATGATTCGCAAATGAATACGGCAACACTTTACCTCAAGTTATTTGTCCTCATGTAAATCAAATATTTTTCTTTCTCATGGGAAACCAGGTTGTATCATAAACCGATGAAGACTAGTTATAATTGAGTAAAGGATGCACCTGTCTAGTCCTCAGTGAAGTTAACTAACCAGATTTGCAACTTAGCCACTTAGCTGAGTGGTGCAACAGTGTAACAGTTTCAGTTTTATTTGTTAAGAGTTAGTTATTAGATATCGATTAGTGGAGAGCATTGAAGACAGCACAAATGAACAGGTTACCCAGAGGGGATTCATCAACGTACAAAATTCACTTCAACGGGGGTCAGTAGTGGTCTCAATAGCTTAAGGTGAAGTAGAGTGCCATACATCAATTTGGATGCAATTACTGTGACACAACTCAATTAGGCTTTACACTGTTTCATTAAGAGGAAGAATCAGTCAATTTCCAATGATCACTATCTTTATCAGCCCAGATACAGTTCAAGAATGTAAACGAAAAGAAACAAAACTCATCAAATTACCATAGTCTAGAGATCAAGAGAGCGTAAGTGCAGTCAGTAAACCAGTAAAAGAAAAACAGTTGCACTTCATTTTCCCAGTTTCAAGTTTCCATCCAGCTATACCCAAAATTCATGAAGAATATCATGATCTTTTTGTGAGGCTGAACAAAAAATCATGCATGAATAAAAGTTGAAAGCCTTCTCGGTAATGAGATACTTGCTACCTCAACTATTTTTTTGATGAGTGCTCCTAGAAACATAGCAAATGAAATCAGATGAACCTCTGAGTGCTCTTAATGTAGATACTAAGTGCTCAAAGCTAAAACACTGAAATTTGGTTGCCATCTAAACTATCCTCTTCTATTACGCTATAAAAAGTCATGTAAATGAATGAAACCCAACCTCAGGTGCTGTTAAGTGGCACAGAACTGTGATATAAATAGAACAACGTAAGGACATTCTATCAAATTTTTTTCTCTCTAACAGAATTTTTTTATCATCAGAGACAGAACCCATATTAAACATCATTAAATTTGTGACTAGCTGAAAAATACACAGATGTCAAAATCGACAGCAGACAAACTATGAGTTATAGATAGGTGAATAAACAGAATATTCAAACAGTCACATGAAGAACTGTCAGATTGTATACGAAGTTGTTAGAATAATTTACAACCGTACGGATATGAACATGTGACCTTGAGATATATGAAAGGCAGTTAGATGGAATACTGACTTTCGTTCTCTTTCAGTGAGAAATAACCAATAAACGGTGCAAAATTCCAAAGGGTTAATTTTTTTTTCTATAAACTAGCGTATATATTGTATATTGAAATCAAGCTTATGTAAACCTTTTCAACTAGTTTCTCAGTGGAGTTGAGCATACATTTTTGCACTTTGGCTTTATTTAAAGCACAAAACGCCTATACGACGATTTCATAAGCCATTCATTGTGCAAACCAAATGAATTTATTTCGCGACAGTGAGCAAAAGTGTATCTATCACACGCTTTATTATACTGAAGGGTGATGCGTTCGGCAAGTATCGTTAAAGACTGAATTAGTGTCACCTATAACAAAAAGATTTCATAAATTTACATATTACCTTAGGGACTGACTAAGTCTTTTACTCATTTTCCGTTTTTCCCACTTCTTTATACTGCAGAAAACAGATTACCATCGTCGATATCTAGTGCACTCAAGGCAACCGGAAAGTGTAGTTCATCAGTTTACATCGAAAGCTCCAGTTAACCTGATCAAGAATGATAATCACAATCAACATACAAAAAATAATCATCTATATAAGTCAGTTCAGAGAACGAATAGTTTTTTAATATTCACATTGTGTTATTCATGAATTCTAATGTTGATTAGTACTCACAAAAACTTACCCTTGTTTATTTGTATTGTAATTAAGTAAATTATGATGTAACCCTCTAGAATGTCAGCTTAACTGTAGAACAGTATTTTTTGATGACTTTGTTATGTACCTAAAATGGTAAAAATATTATTATCTAAAATACTTTTATTCTTTTACTTCCACAAAGCGTAGAGCTGCAGGTATTTGCTTACAGTTAGCATAAATATCCTTATATTTATGACCATACACCGCCGTTAGTTTATAGAGTACATAGCATACCCTTTTTAGATATGTGTCTTCTTAAGAGATATCGAGTTTCACCGGGTTTTACGGTAGACTGTTTTCCGTCCGTGGAAATTCCCCTTCCGTATATAAATTTAACAGATCTCATCATGAATGTAATGCAGTGCTAATACTTTGACTAATTAATAATAGTACACAAATCCCCCCAATGTTTAAAAGTGTAAAATATTAAATAGCAGGGCGAAATGAAATATCAGCATTAAAAACTTGACAGCGAAGTGAACAAGCGCAGTCTAGCAATTAATTGGTCTATTTTTTAATAGAATAATATTCATTATTAAGTCTGAATATCTGCATCTCTGTACTTTATCTGGTGGTAGGTAGGTGAGTACTGTTGAGAATTTGTGAACTAAGGCTAACCCGGTTTTACACTGTTTACAGGATCTTGATAACTTTCTATTTCTATTGCTACTCTAATGCGACAAAGCAGTGATTTTATGCAGTTACTATGGTTATTTTAAGGAAGTGGCTAATCCCAATGGGGAATGAGGAGTGAAGTATGAAGATGGTAAATTAGGAAATTCTGATAGGATTTTGTAAAACCATGTTGACCAAACCATATCTGACTCGGTTCCACATGAACTTATCTAAATGTATTTGTGAGTATTCTAGAAGATATCAATGTAATTTTCCTTAAATTTGCGCTAAAAAATAATGATTAGATCCACGTTCAACAAAGAAGAAGAATATCAACGTAACCTGTTATATTGTGGATGAGCTTTGTACACACATACTACTAAATATTGATATGAATCAAATTGAGTAATTAATCTAGATGAACATGGATTAACAACTGCATTTTGATTCGGCACTGCATTTTATAGAAAAGTTATTGGTGTCGAACACAGACGAATAAATAAGGGTTAAACTGATACAAAAGTGTATGAGTTAAAGTAGTCATATTTCATGGTAGCATGCAGAGAAGAAATGTGTAGAAGATTTGCGCTAAGAGTGACGACGAAGTATGGAGAAAAAAATGAAACTGAGGAAGACTGACGAAAATATGCTGATTAAGTGATACTTTAACGCAAGTACTTTTCATACTATGCAGTCAGTAGCTCATTTCCTTCCACTGCATCTTCCAGCACATCCATCATCAGAGCAGAACAGAGAAAGGCATTCTTCTTATTCACTTTTCAACTGATGGCGCTATTCACATGTGTTTTCAGTTCTTTGAAAAAAAACAGAGTTGCAAGATATTTTTGATTTACCCCCTAACCAGCAATCTGTCATTGATTTGCTCTGCAATGTGCTTCAGTCCAGCACAGTGAAAAAAGTTCTTGGATGTAAAAGAAATAAAATGGTCGCCGTTATAGGATTTCAGGCTTTGTGATAAGCTAAAACATCACACACTCCCAGTATTGAGAACCTAATCATGCTTTCTGGTGAATATCTAGCTTCTAGCCATTTAATTTGCTCATTAGCAATAATAGGATCACTTTTCCTATAGAGAGATCTTGGGACACAAAAGTACACTATCTAGCATAGTAACACAACTGATGGTTTAAAATGTATGGTGTACTTCATGCGACTCATCACTGATTACATCCAGTCAAGGCGGTTGCCATGATTACATCACAATGATCTTAATTGACAATCTTCCACATCGAATGATTTCCTTTTCTTTTCAACGAAAAATTAAAATTGCTAGCTTACAACCGAATACCAATGAGAAACAGCCAATATAACATTTTGAGAAACTCTAGAATGAGGAGAAGATAGATAGGGATTTTTATTACTTTGTCAATAATTATGCGTTACATAAGTTGACAGTGGGATGGAATTCCTAATAGCCTTCTCAGTTATTTATGTAAAAATGTATAATATTATAGCCTTGTCAATGGGGATCATAGTAGTCAGCGTTGAAATCTAATAACTGAGATGCAAAATCCGTGAAGCTTTTCAGTTGAGCTAATTGCTTAATTGGCTGTCTAAAAATGTAACTGGTGAATTTCTGAAATCCATTGAGTAAATTGAACAGTTATGAATGATTTGAACAACCTCTAGCTTTATTAACATTTGGGGAGAGGATTTAAAACATTCTGATAATTTTCATTTTCTAACCAACAAAGCGTACACAGACTGTCTGATTCTTTTTAATATGGTATATTGCCCTATGCAGTACGTTTTGTTAAAGACCAGTACTGCTCATACGGAAATTTGTGCCCAAGGAAAGATTTACTGTATTGTTTTCTAGTGTATTTCTTGTCCTCAAGGAATTTCAATAAAGAACTTCATGACTTGATTTACAATGTGGATACTTAAATAGTTTCACTCGGTCAACATGAGATTAGAATTGAACTTCACAGTAAAGCAAATGGGAATAATAGTGATAGTTGGTCTAAGCACAAACTGGGTTTCAGGCTGAAAAGACAAATAATAAACTATGTTCTACGTTTATTGATCGTTCCAGGTGTATAGGTTTCTGATGAACGAAATTTTACACCACAGTAATGTTGAAAAGATTTGCTCCAGTGAATACTTTTACGTATTATTTTCAAAAAATCACTTTCGCTAGTGGGTGTGACCATTATAATGAAGACTGCAAATATGGGTTAAATAGTACAGCAAATGTTCCATCCTCATTCTTTTAATGAAACTGATTTACAGTCATTCACTCATTTGAAGCGATTCTCTGAAACGGCGTCTCTACCACCACACATATGTATTATTCACACTTCTGAAGAGAAATTGAACATCATTAGGTATATCTGAAGTGAACACCCTCAATACTCATAATTCTTATGACAATGTACTTCATCCCTGCTTCAGTTTCTTAGCATGAATATAGTTCTAAAATTCGTACATTTACATAGAATTTGACAACTATGGTAGAAATAGTGAGGATACACATAAGAGTCCACTAAATTCTGTTCGAATGTAATCCCCTTGAGCTAAGCAGGAATACAATTAGATTCAGTGAAGTAACTGAATGTTCATTTTGTTTCAAACTCTCTTAATGTTCACTATTTTCAAAATTCTGATTTCCAATCAATGTTAACTACCTTCTCTGTATTTAGTTCGTTTTATTTTCCGACGAAAACATACAACAGGTTATAAATATCACTTTGTCCTACTAAACGTTGTTGAAAGGTTGTTATGAAAACCTATAATAAAGTATACTCTAATTAGCGGATATTGCAATTATTTAGCTAGAATAGGCTGAAATCGAAAAATCATTGTCACTGAAAAATGCCACAGAAATACTTATATATTGTAAAGATATTTTAATATAATCCCACAGTATTTAGGAAATCAAATAAACTTTTCTTCTGAACTTTTTACTACGTATTTCATGGATTATTCTAAAGTATATTCATGTTTTTATGCAGCTCTGACCTACACGGTCATTTTCTAGAGACGTCTTGCCTTGATTTTTGAAATAAGCCATAATCTGCTTATTTGTTACAGGAATAGATCCATGTCTTTCTTCAAGGAATCACGTCTTTTAGTTAAAATGCCTGAAAATTATTACTTATGGTAATTCATGAGTGATGTTTAGAACTAACAGCTGGTTGCAATAAGAAATGTGCATACAAACTTACATTTAATAAAGACATCTCAGTAGAGACAATTTCTTTTCCGACGCATCATTTTTTGCTATGACGAATCAATTTGTCCATCAATAGCTAGTGAATCAACACCAGGTCATCAAAACTATTTCAGGGATAACATGTTAATAAGTGAAAGATCAATACAGTACTTTTTTAGAATGTGCTGAAAATTGTTTCTAGCATCATAAAAGGTTGCGTAATAACCTAAAAATTAGTAAAATAGGCAATAAAAGTGGGACAGTCGTATTCAAATTAACCGTTACAGAATATTAAATTTTGACTATCCTAAATAACCAACCTCGCCTGGTTAACTAGTTTACTAGTTACTAGCCGGTCCTAAGCCCGGGTAAAGAGGGAAGGTTGGGCATAGGGCTAGCAACCCTACCCCGTAAAACAAATCTAACCGCTAAAGAAACTTCAAAGCACAAACAAAATATAAAAAATGAAAACAAACTTATTCCCCGCTGGAATCGGAGAGGCGAAATGACGCCAGTTGGTGAAAGCCTTCGGGAAGCCAATTGGCCGATGTGTCTTCTCTCTCGATGAAAGCGAAAGTAAACGTGGGGACATGGAATGTCCGCACGATGTTTGAACCCAGTAAGGCAGCCCAGATTGCAAAGGAGATGAGAAGGTATAACATCGAAGTGCTTGGGATTTGCGAAAGCAGATGGAATGGGAGTGGACTCTCCAAACTGTCAACTGGAGAATCAATAATCTACTCCGTTGTCACCCAGACGCCAACCACGAGCACACTGAGGGAGTGGCTATCATGATGTCCTCAAGAGCATCGAAGGCTCTCATGCAGTGGGAACCAATCTCCTCCAGGATCATGACAGCAAGATTCAACTCAAAAGGAAGAAAGGTCACAATCATACAATGTTATGCACCTACAAATAATGCAGAGCAAGAGAAAAAGGAGGAATTCTACAGACAACTTCAATCAACACTGGACAAGACGTCAGTTGGCGATATCAAAATTCTAATGGGCGACATGAATGCCAAACTGGGAGGGGACAACACGGGAAGAGAACTAACCATGGGTCGAGAGGCGCTAGGTGAAATGAATGAGAATGGAGAATTGTTTGCAGAATTCTGCGCATTCAACGATTTGGTGATTGGAGGCAGTGTGTTCAGGCACAAGGATATCCACAAAGCGACATGGATTTCACCAGATGGACACACTAAAAACCAAATCGACTTTATCTCAATCTCAAGAAAATGGAGACGCAGTCTACTTAACACAAGGTCAAGAAGAGGAGCAGATGTAGGTTCAGACCACTATCTAGTGCAAGGAACCTTCCA